GTCTACTATCCTCTTTTATTTATGTATTAGTTTATTTTCATATTTTGTTCCTTTCCAAACTCATGTCGGTTTGTACCTATCCTCCTTGAGTTTGAGGGGGGCTGTTAAAGTATATAATATATTAGTAGATAGTGAGCCTCCCTTTCGGTGCCTTTAGGTGCTAGTGCTTCACTTTCCATCATGAGCCATCATTGTCCATTGTCTGTAAGGATTGTATTTTCTCCTATATAAAGAGCCCCTCACCATTTGTAATATACACACACTTAACATTCAATACATCAATATATACATAATTTATTCTCTCTCTCTATCAATTTATCTAATAATAGCGGCTATAGGTGGTCGCTAGTAACCCAAGGTAATTGCTAGTAGTGGGGGTCATGATAGTGGTGTTATTGTTGAAGTGTTAAATGATATAAGGCGAGGATATTTTGGAGATATTGATAGTTAAAAAAAGTTATAGGACTTGTAGATAACTCCGGTCAATAGGATTGGCCCGTAAGTGTCTCAAAACTCAATTGGAGGCCTTTTTTTTTAATATTATTTAAATTTAAATTTAAATCATTGCAATTTTTTACTGTAGTTTATTATGTAAAACTCATTTTTCACTTTAATTTTTATGATAAAAAAAAAAGAGTTATTTAAAACCTTTATGAAGGCTATGACAATGAAAAGAAATAAAAAGTGTAAACTATCCAATAAATATAATTTATAAGTTCAAAGAAGGCAACGATACATATATATATATATATATAAATCATGTGAAAATTGAGGACTAAACTTGTAGAATTTATTCTAAATTTATGAATGCATTTTTCAAAGTAGAGTTTATTAAATTAACAGGTTGTATACTTTCAAAATATATGGAATTTTTTTTAATGTGGACTTCCAAGACATGTAGAAGAGGATTCTCTTTAGAACTTTTTTCATTCAACTATCATCCAATAGCTAATCTAAAGGCCCAGATAATGGTTGGATCAAAAAGTATTAATGAGGATTCCAATTCAATATATATGACACGTATTATATTCATGGCTGGGGTCTTTTATTATTGTTTTCTAATTTTGTGGAGGGCTTTTCCAAAATCAAATATTTTGAAAAATATACATCGATAATTGTAATTTGCTTAAATTTTGGAGCCTTCTTCAAAATGGGTCCTAAAGCCCTTGCTCTAGTGGCTTAGCTATTCAGCCCACCATAAGTACGGGTTAAGGGTGAGCATAATTCGATTTGGTTTGGTTTTGAAATAAACCAAGACTAAATTATTACTTACGATTCTATAAAATTTGAAACTAAATTGAAGTATAAAAAATATAGAATCAAATCAAATTGAATCATGAAAACATGGTTCAATTAGGTTTAGAATCACGGTTTTTATGAACTTTGTCATTATTCACAACATAATCACAACTCGCTCAAGAATCAATCAATATATTATCATTTTATAAATAAAATTATTTAAATGATTGTTTAGAAGTAGTTTTACTATTATACAAGAACACACTTGACAGTAAAGGATTAATAATTTATGAATATGTATAGGATACTAATAAGATATTTGATAGTGCCTACCGTAAATAATAAATTATACTCAATCCATCGCACAATAATAGTCCCTGTTGGGGATTTTAACTTTTTAGTGGGACATGTAATTATTGTTTTGAAGTCAAATAAGAATATATTAATTTGCCATATTGCCCTTTTTATTCTCATTATTAAATATATTTATAATTATTTTTAAATCGTAGTGTTGAAATTCTCTAAAGTTTATGTTTTGACTATTCAAAATGGACAAATATTTTTTGAGACATCCAAAAAAAAAAGAAGATGTATAAATAATATAGAACGAAGAGAGTATATGTACATATTTTTTAACGGTTCAATTCAGTTCTAAACCATAACCAACCATGTGAGGTTTTGCTTTAAGAACAAGCATGTGTTAAATCTTTAAATAAAAATAAAATATTATTTAATTATTTTTTGTTACAAATTTAATGTGGTTTAACTATTTTAATTATAATATTTATACTCAATATTATTACAAGAATAATAATACTTTATTACACTGGTTACAAGTTTTATATGAAAATCAATATGACATTTATACCAAATGAATTGGTAGTTGTTTTATATACACTGAATTACACATCATGGACTGAGAAAAAATATTTATAAAAAAAAAAAATTATATTTTTAAATATTTTATCCTGACATCACTTATGTGTAATTCTTCCTTTTATACTAGTTTACACAGGCCCATGCAAGACACGAGCTATTATTACAATACGTTTAAGTTCTATATTTTGATAATTTTTTTAAAATTTCAACTATTGTTTTATGAAATTGAATAGAATAAATTATTAGATACATGATAGTATTTTGTGGTATGATATGTATCATTTTTTGATTTGTTATACACCTAATGATGTTGACTCCAATTCTATTATCATATCATTTTTGGTGAATTTATGAATCTTTAACATTTCTTCCGAATTTTTTTTTTTTAAAAAAAAAAAAAACTATGGTGTGTAACTTTTCTCAACAGATAAATATAAAATAAATATTAAGATAATTTTCCAATCTAAAAAAACTATTAAGATAAGTCACTGAACTAATAAAGAAGCAGCAGAAAATACATACCTATACGAATGACTAATTTTATTAATACATAAATCATACTCGTATAACAAATGATCAATTTTATTCATAAATAAATCATTAAATAAATTAACAATTTTTAATGATATGAAAAATATTTTTCAACTAACCATTTTATTAATAAATAAATCATTAAGGCAATTAATAATTTTTCATGATATGAGAAATATTTTTCAATAAAAAATTTTGATAATTTATTATTGCATAGAAGAATAGTTTTTTTTCCTTGGGTATTGTGTTACATTAAAATTTATAGGATCAATTTATATTTTAAACAAATTTTATGGGTGTATCTGTAATTTGTCTAAAAAGAAAAGATTTATGATTCATAATTGACCAAGAATATTTGCGTAATTATGAAAAAAACATATTTTATAATTGACCAAGAATATTTGCGTAATTACGGAAAAACTTATTACATAATTGACCGAGAATATTTGTATAATTACAAAAAAAAAAACTTTTATTTAACATATAAGCCACCATTAATAAATTACTTAAAATGAAATGGTAAAATAGAGGGAGGAAAAAAAGAAAAAAGAAAAAAAGACGAGCTATAAAAAAGGAGGAGCTTCTTATACATATATACATATATATATATATATATATGGTAAGTGTTCATTTTTTTATTTATTTTTATTTTTTAACCTCTAATTCTTTGACTTTTCTTGGGTTCACATGTAAGGTTGATTTTTAAAAACAAAATTTGTCCTCACCTCGATTCCTTTACCGCATGATTCACACTAACCTACCATTACAAACCTTGTCTAATTTGGTGGAAGAATAGTATTAGGAGCACAGGTATCAAATATAGAGAATGGGATACACATATCTCATATGAGATGAGATACTTTCAATCTGTTCAAATTCATTAAAGTTTACAATTTCTTGTTTGTATTCTTTACTCACTATGAGCTCTTTTTTTTTTTTTTTTTGATCGTTGTATTTGGTTGGGGGATTTGAGAAGGGATTTGGAAAAGAAAAATGAAACGGTGTGTGAAACTAACACTCTATTTGGTTAGGAAATTTGGGAAGAAATTTGGAAAGGAAAAGAATATATATATATGAAAGTAGGTAAAATATAAATATATTTTATTCATACTTTACCTATCTTTTTCCGTTTTATTTTCTAAATCTCTTTTTAAATCTTTCAACCAAATACAATGTTAGAGAATACCTTCTCTCAACTCTAATTTTTTTGTTGGCTTATCAAACTTTGACCGAACAACACTCACGGTGCACTTTTGTTCGCAAGTCATTGTTTCTGGATTATTGAAATGGACATTTAGCTGTGCAACAGTGGATGCTGTGCACCCCTACATAACAGCCATCCCAAATTCATAAAATTCAATTTCTCTTTGAGAATTCTTCTTTTCTTTGTAGATTCAAAGGTTCGTTTCCATAGATTCAGAATTACTTTTTGCCTATTGAAATGATATCTAATTTTCGTGTACATTCTGTGTCTAACAAGTCCTATAAACATTGAGAAAAAAATATAAGCAAATAGCATAAAACTCAACCAAGTTTCAACATTTTGAATGTAGTGAATTAGGAACAAGAAATTTTGCTTGTGCTGAAGGAGCAACATGATGAGTAATTAAGGAATTGAAATATTGCATAGGGAGTGAAACATCAGAGGCTATATATGTGTAAGAGTAAAGTGCAAAGTACAAATCTCATTTTGATCCCTACATATCAAATTATAACAGCCAAGCCATGCACTTCTGGTCAAGTGTTTATGTCTTCCTTATGTTACTCCATTGTTTAATTTCTTAACAGAATCAAATCATGTGACAAGCACATGACTATGAAATAAGAGTAAGAGAGAAAAATCATTCTTATTTTCCACCGATACACACTTTGTGTCACATGTTAAGCATGCAAGAGTTATATATATATATTTATATATTTATATGTTCATATACTGAAAATAGAAAAAAAGAGGTAAGAAAATAGAGTTTTTGAAATAGAAAATTCAAAAAAATGGAAAGGAATAAATAGAAGACTATTGTGAAAAACAAAATTTCGTGATTCTAATTTCTATAAAACCCTAGTTTATCTCTTTAATCATTCATAATTTGCATTTTGTTTTACCCGAATACAATCATAATTTGATGTAAATTTTGAAATGAAATGTTTATAAAGGAAATGGAGGTGTTTTTCCTCTTTCGCCCTTATTTCATAGTCATATGTTTATCACATGACTAGATTCTGTTAAAAACTTCAACAATGGAGTAATAGGAGAGAGACATTGACACTTCACTAAAAGTGTAATGGGTTGACTGTCGCAATTTAATGTGTAGGGATCAAAATAATGTTTGGTGCAAAGATAGTGTATGTACCTTGAGGATTTGTTTGAGATGTAGGAGCTGTAGTAGGTCTTATTATTAACATATTTCCAGACACAGATCCACGCTCATATGTACCCTTGTTCCAGACAATACCAAAAAAGAGAGGAAAAAAATTAGCATTACTTTTTACATTATTAGTTTCTTGCAATCACAATTTGATTTAGTTTCTTGCAATCTACTTCTAAGGTAATGTTGCAGAACATAGTGGGTTCACAAATTTGTTCAACTGATGAATGAGCAGCAGGAAAAATAAATAAATGAACTTTATTCACCAAAGTTCATAAACCAAGTAGAAAGCAATGGTACTTACACCGGGATCACCCATTTCATCAAATGTCGTCCTTTTAAACTTGTATCGGAGACTAGACGAATTTCAATTAATTGAATCCTTCGTTTAATCAGCTATTTTCAGCTATATTTCATCTGTTGACGGTGTCCGTCCTCCCTCTAGCAGTCTTTGAACAAAAGGGTACTCGTGCTAAACTAAGCTATCTGGGCTTTCTAATGCTTCTTCATTTAACAGTTTCGGCACATGGAGATTAACCTGCATGCAAGACGTATTCAAAGGCCATTTGGAGATAAAAATCATGGCATTGTAAAAGACCATCATCATATTTCCATCTACTTTTTGACTCTATTTTTTCATCTTGCATATCCTTTATTCACCAAAGTTCATAAACCAAGTAGAAAGCAATGGTACTTACACCGGGATCACCCATTTCATCAAATGTCGTCCTTTTAAACTTGTATCGGAGACTAGACGAATTTCAATTAATTGAATCCTTCGTTTAATCAGCTATTTTCAGCTATATTTCATCTGTTGACGGTGTCCGTCCTCCCTCTAGCAGTCTTTGAACAAAAGGGTACTCGTGCTAAACTAAGCTATCTGGGCCTTCTAATGCTTCTTCATTTAACAGTTTCGGCACATGGAGATTAACCTGCATGCAAGACGCATTCAAAGGCCATTTGGAGATAAAAATCATGGCATTGTAAAAGACCATCATCATATTTCCATCTACTTTTTTACTCTATTTTTTCATCTTGCATATCAACCATCCTGTTGACAAATCACTGAATATAAAAAGTATATCTAAAATATGGACTTCTATATCATTTTTCTGATATAAATTCTATCATTTTGCATCTAAGAGTAAATGAATAATAACAATAATAAATTGAGAATTTAAAATTAAATGTCAATTACATAATTGGAAATTTCAAATCAGTTAGATAATAATAATAATAAATAATAAGTCATTTTTTTTAGGGCAAGTATGTCTTCTATTTGATGTATGCCCTTTTTATGTGTGAAACTTGCATCTAAATTTTTTTTATAGTACACTTTCTTCTAAGAAAATGATATACAAGCTCATTTTCTAAATTCACTTTTTAAATTCAAAGATGTGTAAATGAAATGATTGACTGATAATTAGATAATATATGATAGAGATAGAGAGTAGTCTTACATATTCTAATAGACTGTTACAATTGGGTCTAATTTTTGGACCTAAGTAATACAACCAAGACATTTATTAATAAATCTTATATCCATAACTTATGGACTATTTAGTCCTATAAATGTTCTTGTGATCCTATAAGTCCTTTTCTATGTAAAATGACACAATTACCACAAGATTTTAAATATTAGGTGATAACAATATGTTCGTAGTGTTTGCCATTTAATGAGTGATACATTTGAAAAAAAATTAATAAGGTATTAGTAAACAAACTACGGTGATATGGGTAATCTTACATTAAAATCTCTCAAATATAACAGTGGATAAATATTAATTCTTGTCGTTTAATTGAATAACACATTTAGAAAAAGTTTAATAAGATATTACTATACATACTACAGTAATATGAGTAATCTCACATCAAAATCTCTCAAATTTCACATCAAAATCTCCCCAGTGGAGCAATTTCACATTAGAATCGAATGACACATTTAAAAAAAAGTTTCAAAAGATAAACGGTAATATGAGTAATCTAACATTAAAATCAAATGCAAATACTGTGGATAATCATATAATAACAATAATTCCAAACATAGAAGATTGTGAATAATAAATAAAGGTATAAAATAGGACTTACGTAACTAAAAAAAAAAAATCATTTAACTTTTCAGTACATATGTTTTTGAAACAAGACTTTTGAGTAAATTTCTCTCTTTTAATCTGTCCCACTAATTCACAGTTCTCCCGAATATTAAAGAGCGACATGTGTGTATGTTCCGTCATGTGGATCCCACTGTCTATTAGTAAACAAATTTCATTTAGTACGCAAGTAAGAGTTGTCCCATTCTTAGTAAAACTAAAGATTTTGGGCCAAAATTCTACAAATAAATTGCATCTTGTGAGAAATCTACGCTAAAAGATTCTAATGTCTTAAGTCTTTTACTTATATTTCTTATTGCGAAAAAGACTTCAACATTTTTACCCATTTCTTCTACAACATTCTCATATTTTTTCTCTTTCTTTTTCTTTATTCTCTCTCTCTCTCTCTCTCTCTCTCTCACGCTTGCACACACACATAGATAATATCTAGCCATTGAAGACTTGACAACATCATCTCCACTATCTCTGTTGCATGTTGCCAGCATTCATCGTCTCCACTATTCACCACCATCTCAAATCTATCACTGGTAACTACCATCTTCACCATCAACCTCCAACATCTTAGATCCAATATAAATGAATTCAAATTTGAGAACGACAATCTTAGAACGAAAACCTTAGATTTGAGATTGAAAATATTAAATTTGTCAGAAGAAGATTGCTAGAATTGTCCATTCACTCTTAGTAGGAAACAATAAAATTTTACTGTTCACCATAGTAAACTTTTAATCTGTTCAGATTATTCATTCAATGTTTTGATAATTTTTCATTTAATATTTCTACTAATAATAGTAAAATTATAGTGAGTATTGTGGTCAGTGATGGTAATGTTAAAAATTTACTGTTTAAATATTAAATTCATACAATAAAATTTTACTATCATATTAGACTAAAGTCTCACTATCTACATAATAGTAAATTTTGAAAAAAAGTTGTTATTTGCTAAGTGGTGGTTGTGATGGTGCTTGTTCTCGTCATCATCAAAAAATGGTCATTGAAGATTCACTTTAGAAAGTGCTCGTTAGGAGGTTATTGGTGACCGACCATTAGAAAACAATCGCTAGAGGTAATTGGAGGTCATGTTTCGTTATGTCTATTAAACTATTGGAATGGAATAAGTTTTTATTTTTTATTTTTCTTTTTAAGACGCTAGTAACAAACAAGTTAAAAATTTACAAAGATCGTAAGTGTTAACATTTGTGGAAGTGATGATGTGAGACGTGGTAGTAGTGGCGGCAGTGGCGATGGCAACATCGATGGTGGTAATAGCAGTTATAGTAATATAGTAGTTGTGGTAGTGGTAGATCATTGTACATTTGTGGTGGTGGTAGTAGTGGTGTGGTTTTTGTGAAGATGGTAGTAGTGGTGGTAAGGTTGTGGTTGTAACGATGGAGACAGTGGTAATGATGGGAGTGGTAGTAGAGTAGTGGTTCTAACGATGGTGGTGGTGATGGTTTTGTAGTTGTAGATATTGTGGTAATGGTTGTTGTGGTAGTGGTAGTAGTGGCAACGGCAGTAGTAAGATTGTAGTATAGTGGTGTAGTGGTTGTGGTGGTGGTTGTAGCGGTGGTGGTAATAAGGTTGTAGTTGTTATGGTGGCAGCGTTGGTGATATTGTGGTAACGGTGGTGATGTGATGATTATAGTTATGGCAATGGTAGTTGTGGTGATGATAGTGATGATGGTAGCATTGGCGGTGGTAGTAATCATGGTGGTGGTGGTAGGATAGTGGAAATGTTGGTAGCAGAAGGAAATTGTGGTAGTAGCTAAATGGTAATATTTTATGGTGATTCTATAATGGAATAGAATTCCTTAGGCTTGAGAAAGGAATAGGCATTTCCACATTGGAATGACCATCCCACACTTATACCAAACAAGTGAAAGGCAATGCAAAGCTAGAATTGGCATTTCATTCCAACCCATCACATCGTACCAAACGTGTAGTGTTGAAAAAATGTATTGAAATGTGTAAACGTGTTTTGAGCTATGTGAAAAGTATATTGAGATTATAAATAATAAAAAAAAAAGACAAATTTAAATTAATAAACTTTAACTTGAGTTTATAATATATGGGGATGTCAATAAGAAGAAGAAGGTACACTTAATAAATTGGGAGACATACTCAGTAAGTAAAAAAATCAAGGGCTTAGTCTTTCGAAAAACCATCAAGTTTAATGAATCGCTTCTTTGCAAGTGGTGGTGGAGATTTGCAACCGAAGACAATGCACTTTAGAGAAGGGTTATTTATGCAAAAATTAATATGGATCAATCTACTTGGTTACCATGTTTATCTGGATGAGAAACTTGCTCTGTTATTTGGAGAAACACTGTTTCATTGGACAGAATTAACTCTTGGGTTTTCAATCAATTCATGGCCTACACTTGTCTCAAACTTGGTGATGGAGTTAGATTAAAGTTTTGGAAAGATTTATGGCTTACAAATTCTCCTCTATTCAATGTTTATCCAAGACTTTACTCTCTTGTTGTGGATAAAGACTCCTGCATTCGACACTACTCCAGAACATCTAACTCCAACCAACTTGTATAGACCATTGAATATAGGAGAAACTGAAGAACATGAGAGGGAGAGCTTTATTTTGCTCTGATTCATCGTCTGCAACAGTTTGTACATCTCAGAGAAAGATTTAAGGATTCATTGGTCTGGAAGCATCCTTCTTCACACTCTTTTACATTCAAAGCACTTTATATGGCCTTTGAAGAGTCTTTAAATCTTTCACCATTTTCTATTTTGAAGCTATTGAAATCAATCGCACCGCTAAAGATTAAAGCTTTTGGATGGTTGGCATGGTGGAATAGAGTTGCAACATCGGACTTCCTCTTCAATCGACGCATTCTAAAAACCTCTATTCCTTGTGCTTTTTGTGGTCTTGAGATGGAATCAACTAACCACCTATTGCTTCTCTATCAATCCTTTTGGAAGGTATGGATTGATTGTATTAAATGGTAGGGCTTAAGTTGGGTTTGGCCAAGATCTGTGCATGATCTTGTATCATGGTGGTACGGGCATAGTTTTAAGCATTTGGCAAAAACAATCTGGGAAGCACTGCCATTAACAATTTTATGGATTCTTTGGTTAGCAAGAAATTATAGTGTTCTCACAAAAAGAACCTAATTGGGAATAATTAATAGAGTCGATGAAAGTAAAAGAAGCCACTTGGGTTAAATACTCGTACAATATCAATGAGTACTCAATGAACGATTTCATCTTTTCTCTCGAAGGAATTACGAAACAATTCTGGAAATATAGGGTTCGCTCGAGCGCAGAAGTTAGCGCTTGAGCGGTCTTTTGAGGCATCCAGTATCTTGCTATACAGACTTGAGATTCTAGGAGCTTGCGTTTTACACTTGAGCGCTGGAGTTTTTTCTCAAGCGATCTTCGCTCTCACAGCACTAGAGTGCAAAAATGAGCCCTCGAGCAATTTATTCAGGATCAGCAACTTAAAATCTACTTTTTGCCTCAAATCTATCACTTTTCTTACTCTCTTTTCTCTCACTCTTCCATTTTCCAACTTAAAATCTACTTTTTGCCTTGTCAATATTCTTGGGTTTCCATAAGGCTTAGAGCCTTTTTGTTGTCTTAGCACAGCTCTAATGTTACTTGATCCCCCAAAGCATGGGTGAACAGGAACTCCTTGGAACAAGAATGGTGCGTCGTCCTCACCATAATTTTCTGCAAGCCCAAATATCCCTAGGTCTGATCCTTCATAAAACGTGTGGTTATTGTCAAATATTTACAGATCACCACCTTCCATGGTGTTAAATCTAAGACCAATATCTTTTCCTGTCTTTTGGATTCCATC